GTGGGCCCCTCAGGGCGGTGTGTGCCCCCCTCAGGGCGGAGTGGCCCCCTCAGGGTGGTGTGAGCCTTTCTCAGGGCGGAGTGGGCCCCTCTCAGAGCGGTGTGGGCCCCTCTCAGAGCGGTGTGGGCTCCTCTCAGGGCGGTATGGGCCCCTGAGGGCGGTGTGGGCCCCCCTGAGGGCGGTGTGGGCCCCCCTCGGGGTGGTGTGGGCCCCCTCAGGGCGGTGTGGCCCCCTCTCAGGGCGTTGTTGGGCCCCTCAGGGCGGTGTGAACCCCCCTCAGGGGCGGAGTGAACCCCCCTCAGGGGCGGAGTGAGCCCCCCCCTCAGGGCGGAGTGGGCCCCTCAGGATGGTGTGAGCCTCCCTCAGGGCGGAGTAGGCCCCTCTCAGGGCGGTGTGGGCCCCTCAGGGCGTTGTGGGCCCCTCTCATGGCGGTGTAGGCCCCTCTGAGGGCGGTGTGGGCCCCTCTCAGGGCGGTGTGGGCCCCTCTCAGGGCGGTGTGGGCCCCTCAGGGCGGTGTGGACCCCTCTCAGGGCGGTGTGGACCCCTCTCAGGGCGGTGTGGACCCCTCTCAGGGCGGTGTGGGCCTCTCAGGGCGGTGTCAGCCCCCTCAGGACGGAGTGGGCCCCTGTCAGGGCGGTGTGAGCCCCCCTCAGGGCGGAGTGGGCCCCTGTCAGGGCGGAGTGGGCCCCTCAGGGCGGTGTGGACCCCTCTCAGGGCGGTGTGGACCCCTCTCAGGGCTGTGTGGGCCTCTCAGGGCGGTGTCAGCCCCCCTCTGGGCGGTGTGGCCCCCCTCAGGGCGGTGTGGGCCCCCTCAGGGCGGTGTGGCCCCCCCCACCCTCAGGGCGGTGTGGCCTCCCCCACCCTCAAGGCGGTGTGGGCCCCTCTGGGTTGTGTGGCCCCCCCTGAGGCCGGTGTGGGCCCCCCTCAGAGCGGTGTGGCCCCCCTCTGGGTGGTGTGGCCCCCCTCAGGGCGGTGTGGCCCCCTCAGGGCGGTTTGGCCCCTCCTCAGGGCGGTGTGGCTTTCTTCAGGGCGGTGTGGCCCCCCTCTGGGTGGTGTGGCTCCCGTCAGGGCGCTGTGGCCCCCCCTCAGGGCGGTGTGAGCCCCCTCAGGGCGGAGTGGGCCCCTCAGGGCGGTGCGAGCCCCCTCAGGGCGGAGTGGGCCCCTCAGGGCGGTGTGGCTCCCGTCAGGGCGCTGTGGCCCCCCCTCAGGACGGTGTGGGCCCCTCGATGCGGTATGGGCCCCTCAGGGCGGTGTGAGCCCCCTGAGGGCGGAGTGGGCCCCTCAGGGCGGTGAGAGCCCCCCCACAGGGCGGTGTGGCCCCCCCTCAGGGCTGTGTGGCCCCCCTCTGGGTGGTGTGGCCCCCTCAGGGCGGTGTGGCACCCCTCTGGGTGGTGTGGCCCTCCTCAGGGCGGTGTGGCCCCCCTTCAGGGCGGTGTGGCCCCCCCTCAGGGCGGTGTGGCCTCCCCTCAGGGCGGTGTGGCCTCCCCTCAGGGCGGTGTGGCCACCCCTCAGGGCAGTGTGGCCTCCCCTCAGGGCGGTGTGGCCCCCCCTCAGGGCGGTGTGGCCTCCCCTCAGGGCGGTGTGGCCTCCCCTCAGGGCGGTGTGGCCCCCCTCAGGGCGGTGTTGGCCCCTCTCAGGGCGGTGTGGGCCCCTCTCAGGGCGGTGTGTGGCCCCTCAGGGCGGTGTGGGCCCCTCAGGGCGGTGTGGGCCCCTCAGGGCGGTGTGAGCCCCCTCAGGGCGGTGTGAGCCCCCTCAGGGCGGAGTGGGCCCCTCAGGGCGGTGTGGGCCCCTCAGGGCGGTGAGAGCCCCCCCTCAGGGCGGTGTTGGTCCCTCTCAGGGCGGTGTGGGCCCCTCAGGGCGGTGTGAGTCCCCTCAGGGCGGAGTGGGCCTCTCTCAGAGCGGTGTGGACCCCCCTCTGGGCGGTGTTGGCCCCTCTCAGTGCGGTGTGAGCCCCCCTCTGGGCGGTGTGGGTCCCTCTGGGCGGCGCGGGTCCCTCTCAGGGCGGTGTGAGCCCCCCTCTGGGCGGTGTGAGTCCCCCTCAAGCGGGGGGTCCCCTCAGAGCGGTGTGGGCCCCTCTCAGGGCGGTGTGGGCCCCTCTCAGGGCGGTGTGGCCCCCTCTCAGGGCGGTGTGGGCCGTCTCAGGGTGGTGTGGGCTGCTCTCAGGGCGGTGTGGGCTCCTCTCAGGGCGGTGTGGGCTACTCTCAGGGCGGTGTGGGCTCCTCTCAGGGCGGTATGGGCCCCCCTCAGGGCGGTGTGAGCCCCACTCAGGGCGGAGTGAGCCCCCCTCAGGGCGGAGTGGGCCCCTCAGGGCGGTGTGTGCCCCCCTCAGGGCGGAGTGGGCCCCTCAGGGTGGTGTGAGCTCCCTCAGGGCGGTGTGAGCCCCCCTCAGGGCGGTGTGAGCCCCCCTCAGGGCGGAGTGAGCCCCCCTCAGGGCGGAGTGGGCCCCTCAGGGCGGTGTGTGCCCCCCTCAGGGCGGTGTGGGCCCCTCTCAGGGCGGTGTGGGCCCCTCTGAGGGCGGTGTGGGCCCCTCTGAGGGCGGTGTGGGCCTCTCTCAGGGCGGTGTGGGCCTCTCTCAGGGCGGTGTGGGCCCCTCAGGGCGGTGTGGACCCCTCAGGGCGGTGTGGACCCCTCAGGGCGGTGTGGACCCCTCTCAGGGCGGTGTGGACCCCTCTCAGGGCGGTGTGGGCCTCTCAGGGCGGTGTGAGCCCCCCTCAGGCTGGTGTGGCCCCCCCACCCTCAGGGCGGAGTGGGCCCCTCAGGGCGGTGTGAGCCTCCCTCAGGGTGGTGTGAGCCTCCCTCAGGGCGGTGTGGGCCCCTCAGGGCGGTGTGAGCCTCCCTCAGGGCGGTGTGAGCCTCCCTCAGGGCGGTGTGAGCCTCCCTCAGGGTGGTGTGAGCCTCCCTCAGGGCGTTGTGGGCCCCTCAGGGCGTTGTGGGCCTCTCTGAGGGCGGTGAGGGCCCCTCAGGGCAGTGTGTGTCCCTCAGGGCGGTGTGGGTCCCTCAGGGCGGTGTGGGTCCCTCTCAGGGCGGTGTAGGCCCCTTTCAGGCCGGTGTGGTCCCCTCAGGGCGGTGTGGGCCCCACTCAGGGCGGTGTGAACCCCTCTCATGGCGGTGTGGGCCCTTCAGGGCGGTGTGGGCCTCCTCAGGGCGGTGTGGCCCCCTCTCAGGGCGGTGTGGGCCCCTCTCAGGGCGGTGTAAGGCCCCTCAGGGCGGTGTGAGCCCTCCTCAGGGTGGTGTGAGCCCCCCTCAGGGCGGCGTGGGCCCCTCTCAGGGCGGTGTAAGGCCCCTCAGGGTGGTGTGAGCTCCTTTCAGGGCGGTGTTGGCCCCTCTCAGGGCGGTGTGGGGTCCCTTTGGGCGGTATGGGGTCCCTTTGGGCGGTATGGGGTCCCTTTGGGCGGTGTGGGGCCCCTCAGGGCGGTGTTAGGCCCCGCAGGGCGGAGTGGGCCCCCTCAGGGTGGTGTGAGCCCCCTCAGGGTGGTGTGAGCCCCCCTCAGGGCGGTGTGGGGCCCCTCAGAGTGGTGTGGGGTCCCCTAGGGCGGTATGGGGCCCCTCAGGGCGGTGTGGGCCCCCTCAGGGCGGTGATGCCCCCCTCTCAGGGCGGTGTGGGCCCCCTCAGGGCGGTGTAGGCCCCTCTCAGGGTGGTGTGGGCCCCCCTCAGGGCGGTGTGGGCCCCTTAGGGCGATGTGGCCCCTCTCAGGGCGGTGTGGCCCCTCTCAGGGCGGTGTGGCCCCCCTCAGGGAGGTGTGGCCCCCCTCAGGGTTGTGTGGCCTCCCTCCTCAGGGCTTTGTGGGCCCCTCTCAAGACGGTGTGGCCCCTCTCAGGACGGTGTGGGACCCCTCAATGTGGTGTGAGCCCCCCTCAGGGCGGGGTGGGCCCCTCAGGGCGGTGTGGGACCCCTCAATGTGGTGTGAGCCCCCCTCAGGGCGAAGTGGGCCCCTCAGGACGGTGTGGGGCCCCATAATGTGGTGTGAGCCCCCCTCAGGGCGGTGTGAGCCCTCCTGAAGGCGGAGTGGGCCCCCCCCCTCAGGGCGGTGTGGGTCCCTCAGGGCGGTGTGGGCCCCTCTCAGGGCAGTGTGGGGCCCCTCAGGGCGGTGTGAGCCCCCCTCAGGGCGGAGTGGGCCCCTCTAAGGGCGGTGTGGGCCCCCCTCAGGGCGGTGTGAGCCCCCCTCAGGGCGGTGTGGGCCCCCCTCAGGGCAGTGTGGGCCCCCCTCAGGGCGGTGTGGGCCCCCCTCAGGGCAGTGTGGGCCCCCCTCAGGGCGGTGTGGGCCCCCCTCAGGGCGGTGTGGGCCCCTCTCAGGGCGGGTTGGGCCCCTCTCAGGGCGGGTTGGGCCCCTCTCAGGGCGGGTTGGGCCCCTCTCAGGGCGGTGTGGGCCCCTCAGGGCGGTGTGAGCCCCCCCTCAGGGCGGTGTGAGCCCCCCTCAGGGCGGTGTAGGCTCCTCTCAGGGCGGAGTGGGTGCAACAAGGGTTGACAATCACAGTGCGTGTCCACTCTGGTATACTTGTTTAAGGGAAAGACAAATAATGACTGGAATTAGGATATATAAGTGTCTGAATATTTATTTGTGCAGGTTTCCCACTCTGAGAATTCAATCTGAGTAAACATGTAGTGTAGTGTTGTCTGGCCTCGACAGCCCTTCCGGCGACCCCGGTGTGGGTGAGAGTCACGGACTCTACCGCCAGGTTGACAACATTTTGGCACGTCCTGGACCCCTTATCAGCTGGGACAGAGGGAAGGACCTTTACCTGTCACGACTTGATAAGGATCCAGGAGGACCGAAACGTTGTCACTTTCATTATGTTGGGTTGTTTTTCAGACGTTAATATTAACTTATTCTCAGGATTCCTTTACTAGTGTACTACACAACACTGCAAATCGAGGCTGCTCATCCTCCATTATATTTACAAGTACACCAAAAAGCAACATTGCCTCTTACTCACAGAATTCTATGGCTTCCCGTTTCCATTTACTAGTACTCTAGTAACAGTGTTTCATACTCCCACAGTTCGAGGGCTGCTACAAGGCGTACTCTCGTCTGGAGAACCTCAAGACCCACCTACGGTCTCACACAGGGGAGAAGCCCTACATGTGTGAGTTCCCAGGGTGCACCAAGGCCTTCTCCAACGCCTCTGACCGCGCCAAGCACCAGAATCGAACACACTCCAACGAGGTGAGTTTGGCTTCATTGTCTTAAAGGCATTGCTTACACGCAGAATATCGGGTCAGTTGTGACAGCAGAATGAGTCGACATCTGACCAGACATTTTTACATTATATTAGGTTTACTGTTAGGTTAGGTTTTAATATAAAACAAATCAATGGTATTTACGAAATGACCTGCACACGTAGAGGCATGGTGATTAGGGGTTACCAACGCCTAATTATATTGGTTCATATTAGGGAAACCCATGTTTCCTTATGTGTTACCAGTCTGTGGGCGGGTTTATAGGGGGGAACTGCATGTACTAACGACGCAAGTAGGGGCCCGAGTACTAGTGCTATAGATTGGGGGACAATACTTGAGGCAGGTAAGGGCACATTGCTTGTCCGGGAGGTAGATGGGGGCCCCGATACTTCTGGGGAGGGTTAGTGGGCAAGTACTACCCCACTCTCCCAGAAAGTACGGTCTCTCCTTCCTCCCATATAAGTACTATTAGGGGGTGTGGGGAGGGAGAGGTGCAGCATCAAGGGGCGTGTTCAGCATTAACCCTCAGCTTTGGTCTGCAGCTGCCACAGCCTCCCAAGATCTTCATTAAGATATGCGAGGGTGAGAGATTAACGCCCCATCTTGGCACGGAAACTGTTGTATGGGTGTGGGTTACACCTAAATAGTTACCGACCTTTTTTGTAACTCCCAGATTTTGCAAGATGGAGTCTACTTGGAACATTGTCCTCATTTGTGTAGTGACCGACTTGGGGGGGGGATGGGGGGGGGGTAGAAATAGCTTAAACTACTCTATCCCTTTCAGATGTATTTTTTCTTGTCTCAATAAACATACTTAAACGTGAACTTGTGACCGACTTCTTGCTGCTCGTACAGTATACAAATGTTAAAAAATTATGTCGTGATGTTGTGATACAGGTATTTGAGATTAGTGGGGAAAGGTGTGGCTATGAGGGTATTGAAGGTGCAGATTTGCTTCCACTGCTCCTGTTATGCCTCATGTATGGTGTATTACAGGACAAAATAAAGCTAAAATCTCTTTGCTTCCTGATGTATTGTAGCTCCTCTACTACAGATAAGAGAAGAGAATGATTTATAATTTTAATCTCTCGTGTCTGTTTCTCTTGCTTACCCACAAAGGAACTCTGGTAGGTTCATTCTTAATGTGTCTTCCCTGTACTCACAGTGTTCCCACAAGTGTTTGTTCAAACGTTGCTACGTTTTGTTAAACGTAGCCGCAATGTTAAACCTGTAGCAGTGTAAAGAAAAACTAACTTTGTGGTTGCATTGTGAGAGTTCCAGGTTCTCGCATGCGCTTCTGTTGTGGCGTGGTGTTTATTTTTATCAACTGTGGTTGCCCTTTCTTAATAATCGTCTTGGTTACAGTTTTCTGTGGTCGTACCCCTTGTCAACATGTTTCCCTATCTATTACCAATCTGTAGCCATGTCCAACCTGTGTATGTCACCTCCCTACCACAGCTGTCTAGTCAGTGGGTTGTGGTTTTGTATGTCATTGTCCTTTTGCATGAGATTACTGTCCTTGTTCTATGTCCAGCACCATAAATTTGTTTTACTCACGGTTTGTTCGCTGTCCCTGCTACACTATAGAGCCCCTGGGAATCGTGACCCGATCCTTAACCAGGGCCCCCCGCCTCTGATCAAGGCTGGTCATGTGAATTATAAAACTTATTTCTGTTAGGAATAAGCTATCCTTAACAGTTTCAGTTTTTGTAGAGGAAAGTAATTATCCAAAGAAAGCACCAAGTCAGCAAGGCTATGCAGCACGGTGTCACGGGATATTAAAGTTTCTTTCGTAGGGAAAAGTAAGCATTAGACTGTTACAAATATACACCGATCATAACTAGTGTATAGATGATATGCTCTTGTGAAAATCAGAATATCTCCATCCTGCATTAAGAAAAGCTTTTATTAAAATCCAGAGCAGATTAATTTTGTAACTTGGGTTAAATATTTGTAATAAATTGTGCTGCAGTTGCACAAAGCCTATTAACAAAACTTGATGTGGTGAAATTATGAATAGTGAAGCTGTTTACTAAATTAATTAATATAGCTATTGATACACACACAAATCACAATTGCGTGATATATCAAATGAACAAATCCACAAGGGCCGTGTTGGGGGCCTACGTCCGGGAGGCTCGAAACCTCATCACGACCCTTTAGGATTTGTAAATTAGTTGTTGATAATAGGATTAACATTGACTGTATTTTCAGAAACCATACGTCTGCAAGGCACCTGGCTGTACCAAGCGATATACAGATCCCTCCTCACTACGTAAGCATGTCAAAACCGTCCATGGAGCTGACTTCTATGCCTCCAAGAAGCATAAAGGAAATGACCACCCAACTACTAACCCAGGTGGAGGAGGGAAGGACGGAGGAGCAGCACACCCTGAGGGCTCTCCACACTCCGACGGAGGCAAAGGTGGTTCCCTCTCCAGCCCTTCCGTCAAATCTGAGGTGAGGCTCTCAGATGTGTACCTTTGTCATTTTGTATTAGTTTAAACAACAAAATACACTTCACTGGTTAATTGTACTACGTATCTTTTTATATTTCTTACGAAACCGATTGTTTTATGTATTTAGATTTGTAACAATACCTACGAAAAACTTAGATATTGTATTGATCAATATACAACAAATTTTATTATCTGTGCTTTATATTTTCTTAGTAACTTAATAGATCATTATTGTTGTGCAGGACCCAACATCCCCAGGACAGGAACACAGCCCTAACATGGACACAGTAGTGGGCGGCACAACCCCTATGGACCAGAGTCGTCTGCTAGATGGTCCCATTAGTGACAATAACATCACTACCACCGGTGGATATGAAAATATTTTAGAGCAAGAAGAAGTTTGGGATGCTGTAGAGGATGACTTGGATGCTAGTGTCGACCTACCAGTGGGGGTTGCAGCTCTTAATGGTTTAGAAGGTTCAATAAGTGGTCAAATCAATCTACAAGAACGTAACTTACGAAATAGATTGAAGAATCGCCTGCAAGCTAAGGGTCTCTCGAATATCTTGCCTAACATCCCAATTGGCCCACGACGCAGTACAAGTAGTGGTGTAGGGGAACTGTCACAACGCATTACAGATCTTAAAATGAATGGAGGTATGACAACTTCTCAGCAGGCCCGCAAAAATCTCCTTGATCTACACTTCCGACCAGGACAGACTATGCTGCAAAGCAATAGAAGGGATTCTAACTCTACAGTGAGCACCTACTATGGCAGTATGAGAAGTGATTCTTCACTGCATCCCAACAGTCGGAGATCCAGTGAAGTTTCACAAGTTTCGGCAGCCTCCATGAGTCGGCAGAATATGGTGCCATCGCCCTATGACCCAATTTCCTTAGGGTCCTCTCGTCGTTCCTCAGAAAACTCTAACTTCAACATGGCAGGGATCGCACAATCAATGAGCTCTCACCTGGCAAAACTACAAAGACGTGCCATGGGTACCAGTGAACTTTATAATACTTCAAACCTTGTTGTCCAGGTATAGTACTATTGGATTAATTATTTTTGCAATCATTTTAAAGAAAATATATTTTAGCAGTAAATAAGTACCCGAGAGTTAGGCGACTGTTGTGGGTTGCGTCCTAGATAAGATCAGTTCATTGGCATAGGGAAGGCCTCAATAAGCATAGCATGCTTCCTGTTCTCAAAAATGGGAAATCATATTGTTGGCCAACTGTATCTTTTTAGTTTATAATTTTTTTTCAATTTCATTATTACTATTATTAATCTGATTAAAACACTGTATAGCTATCTAGTTTTTCAAGAATTTAAACAATTCAAAGGAGTGGCGAATGCAGACAATTCACAAGCGAAAGGTTGCAGGTTCGGTTCCCATGGCAGGACTCACATTTGAGCAGATATCCAAAAGTTTGACAGCTGTTGTGGGTTGTATTCTGGGGAAGGTCAGAACTTGGTCTAGGGGGAGGGGGGGGGGACCTTAATCAGCCTAATAGGCTTATTAACTGTTCCCAACAATGGAAAACCAACATTAGCACTCGCATGTGCACACTGTTCTTTCTATACTGTACTTGCACTCATATTTTTCCCCAAGCTTATTGGTCCACCGCATTTATCAGATTTGTTGCTATTCATTATATCAGTCCTGTATATAGTTTTAAAGCAATTTTGACATTTTGTAGCTCCAGTGTCATTAGCTTAAAGCATCAATGTTAAATTGATACACTGTTCTCTTCTCCCCAGACCCAGAATATGTCACTGAGCCAAGACAACCTACAGGGTGGCTGGGGCACCAGTAACAATATGGGGGGCATGAGTGCTTCAATGGGAGGTAACAACTTTGGCTCTATGGGTCCCCTTGGCCCTGTAGACCCATTGAATCGGTGCGAAGGTTCCAGGAGAGCATCAGACCCAGTGCGACCACTGGATCGAGGAATGGGTATGGGTGAGGATGGAGGGAGGAGACTACACAGACACCACAGCTACAACTCATTTAACCCTCGTACACCGCTACCGCCCATCACCCCACGCCACCCAAACCATGGCCTCCAGCTCGACCAGGTGGCTGAAGATGAACCCATTGAAAACAAGCTAGTGTTGCCAGATGACATGGTGAACTACCTCAACCTGGTCAGTATTACAACTTCACAAAGTAATATTACAGATTGACTTACTGAAAACACTAGAATTTTGAACCTTTGTGGTTTATAGAAGCAATGAGCATGGATAAATATTAAAGATATAGCATGGAATATGGCATCATTGTAGCTATCAATTTCCATAATGCAATATAAAAATAATACTGCTATATTAGAGTATTGACAGCAGTACTGTATTTCAGGAATTTCATGTATTAGGTGTTAATGGCTTCAATTAAATATTACTTATTGTATATCACTGCTAACAGGTAGTCCATTTGCTTTTGTTAACAGCAGATTTTCAGGTTTTGTTATTCACCCACCTTTCCTATTCACTTTTGCACATATACCTGTACTCTTATCCACTCGTTCCCCATGAGAATACCACCACAGCATATTCTCTTCTATTATTAATTGCAAACATTTACACCGTATATTTTCATTTATCCTTCCTAATGTGTGAAAACATATATAATAATTTCTAATTATATTTTTCATGTTCATGCTAAATATTTCACATCCATTTATTGGAGTTGGAACAGACAGTCCTTGTGTCTTCTAGGGCCATTTTATTTTATATAATAAAATATAATTTATTTTCAGAAGGGCAATGGTGACAAATTGAAGTCTGATTCCAAAGAGAACCATCGACAAGGAGGTACTCCGAATCCTCTGCCCAGCCAACAAATGCCATCCCCTGCCTATAGTGGGCAGCCCATTCCGAGTCCAGCCTATTCCAATCAGCCAATGATCAGCCCAGCATACTCCAATCAGCCAATGCAGTCTCCAGCCAGTAATTATCAATATGCGCAGGCATCTCCAGGATACTCTATTCCTTCTCCTGCTCATCCCCACGGGTACAACAATGGTCCCATGCAATCGCCTGCACCACAACAGTTCAGTGCAGCAATGACTCCTAATCCAACAGGTCCTGCACAGACATTTAATCAGATACCCCAGACATACCAACAGCAGCAGTCAATGCCCCAGAACTATCCCATGCAGCAACATCAACAAGGACATCAATATCCACAACAACAGTACCAACAAGGGCAGCAGATGATGGGGCAACATATGTATGGCACTATGATGCAGCAGCAAGGCAGATATGGAAGCATGGGCAATCAACAAGGAGGTGCAGCCTATGGTATGGGTCAGGGGAGTTATGGTCCTGTCCATGCGTGTGGTCATTTGGCTCCACCAAATCTTCCTACACCAGCTTATCAAGCCCCATGTGCAGGCTGCCAAAGTAGAGGTGGCAGTGCCATGGCTGGAGACATGGGTGCCTACCAGGGTCAACAAGGTGCAATGTCAAACTGGCAAGGTTCACAGATGAACATGAACCAGTACCAAGGCCAGCAGCCATATGGGCCTCAACAACATCAACAGCAAATAAATATGATGGCTACTCAGGGACCTATGGGCTACATGGGAATGGGCACTCAATACCAGAACTCTATGATGCCCACTGGAGGTATGATGCCAATTTCATACCCAGGATCAATGGGTGGTGATGTCCAGTGTAGAGATGTTAGCCAAAGCTCTCAAACTAAAGCTGGCAAGTCTAAAACAGCAGCCAAGAACAGTAGTGGAGCTACACCTGCTCCTGCCTGTGGTACTTCTAATGGTATTGCAAGTGCAGTAGTAGCTAACAGCATCCAGCAAACCCCAGCTGCAGCAATTAGTGATGCAGCTGCACCTGTACCTAGTACTCCCATAGACTCCAAACCCTCAGATAGTAAAGTAGTGGATCCCAAGTGTGTAGACACAAAGACTAATAGCAAAAATTTCATGAAACCTGATACATATCAACGGACATTGGAGTATGTGCAACAGTGTCAGAGCTGGAGTTCAACCGTTGTTAAAGAGGAGGTCAGCAGCACTACTGACCAGAAACCCAAACTTAATCCCAATGGCACAGTTGCAGGCTACACAGAACCCGGTTCACAAAGCACTGTCCTTCCACAGCCTGCTCCGCAGCCTGCAATGCAAGGAACCTCAAGATTTGCTACACCTCTTCCCGTTGCACTAGCGGAGACATCTAACATGGTGATTAATGACATGACTTCCTCCCTCACATCACTGCAGGAAGAAAACAAGTACCTTCAGATGATTCAATGACAACTCCATTAGAAACTATTATATTACAGCAACTCGGCTGGTATAGCTACCTAGGTGCAGGTAGCCTGTCCTAACTCCAGGTAATATCGATGGCTTATCTAAGTGACATTGGCAATGTACCAGATGACATTAAATTATTCTATCAGTTGTCACTTGCCGGCTATCATACCATATTATTAAAGCCTGCTCCATACCAGATAATAATAGTCTACTCCTATAGCAGGCAAACCTTGCTATATCAGCTCTCTGTAAAGCATCATAAGAAAACAATATGGGTCCTCTCTTACAAAGAGATGCTTAGTCATTATCTGGAAGGGGTAGGCTACCTGCACCACATAACTGGAGTGGGAAACATCTCACCTCAATGTTCCATACCTCCACCAGCACCTCAGATCTCCGGTCATATCATGCTAGTATGATTTATCTAGTATGGTTATTGACCATGATGTTTTGTTGATACTGATGACTGTGATGAATTAGAATGTAAATATTGACCTTTCACGTTAATATATTTGTACAGTGTCATGAACTATGGTTCCGGAAACTGTCAACTCCCAGTGGTTCACTCACCCCCTCCTCCTCTTCCCCCACAGAACTAATTTCTCACAGCTAAAGGAAAGCAATACTTGAAGTGTGTCTAGCAGCCTGTTGCAGGTCAAGTGGTACTCTTTACATGTGAATGGTGAGCCTGAAAGTGCTACACTAGTCACTATATAGTAGAGACTAACTGTAAGATGCTCGCGATCATAGTTACTCAAAGTACAGTCTATGACTGACATTGTATTGTGCAAAGAAAAAGAAACTAACAAGATATTAGTGGTCTCAAAGCTGAATTACCTTTGATGGCAAAAGTTACATTCTCTGTGATCAAAAAGACAGTGAACATTGTGATTAATGTAACGATATTAGTGAGAAAGGAAAGACTTGTGTTTACAGAGTATGACAAATGTCTTTAAAGACAAGCCAATGTTGTGATCCCTCATACCTCAATATGTCTGTCTGCCTCAAAGGGACAATTAATGGTCGTCACGTTTCAAAAACAAGACCTCAATCCAGTCTCCTAAGGCAGCATATAGTGCCAAGTGCCATTAGCGAGCCAATCGTGCCAACACCAGTGAAACCCGTCCTGTAAGGTGCCATAGCTTGGGTCATAATTCAGGGGCTGTTGTGTAACCAACGTGTAAAATAATGTGTATAGTGTCTATTATTTAAGATTTGTAATGATAACCGTGGTGTCTTCATCATGTCTTTCCAATTTCAATGACTGTACTTACAATACTTTTTTACATAATACATAACTTCTTTAAAATAAAGACGTTTTTAAAGTGTAGTTTTATTTGTCTTTTCTGGTAACCCCACATTGTTGACTGTTGTATTCCCCCTTTTTCTACTTTCATTGTTGTATCCCGCCTGTTACATGTACCCCCATCTTTCTGTCCTGCCTGTTACACATACCCTACCTTTCTCTGTCCCACTTGTTACATGTACCCCCCAATCTTTCTTTGTCCCACCTGTTACATATACCCCCATCTTTTCTCTTCCACCTGTTACACACAATACCCACCTTTCTATGTCTTACCTGTTACCCCTTTCCCTGTTCTGTCAGTTACACATAACCTCCACTCTTTCTGCCTCACCACGGAGGTGAAGGACTGGCGAGACATCTGGAACAAACTTGCCCACTATCTTGCAAATTTTCTTCCAGATCTTGGGCAGAGGAGTATTGGACGTAATCATGGAGACAAGATTTCCATCTCTCACGTTTAGCTGTGCAGATGGTCGTAAGGGCTACCGCATTTGTCTTCTGAAATAAAATAAAAGTATCAGCCGTCTGCCGGCGTCTGTGCTTCTTCCAGGCTGCACGCTTACAGCAGACAGCCCTAGAACAGTCTGCATTCCACCAGGGTACACCCTTCCACGTGCCCCGGGAGGTAGAGTGAGGAATAGAGCGGAGGGCAGCGTCGAATATGGTATCAGGAAAAAGGAGGAGGGCTCAAGGGAAAGGCAGAATGGGGAGGTCAGAAAGAATAGCATGGAGGGTGAATAGGTTTCAGTCAGCCTTGGCAAACTGCCACCTAGGGAAGGAGAGGGGAGGGTGAAAAGAGAAAAAGGTGACAAGGATGGGGAAATGGTCACTGTTATGGCGGTCATCAAGAACCTGCCACAAAATCTAAGTAAAGAGACGACGAGCAGAGAGAAAGATCAAGACAGGAGAGGATACGAGTGCGGGAGTCAACATGAGTGGGTTAACATGAATTCAGAAGGGACAGGGAAGAAGAGAGGACAAATGGTTCGAGAAGGTGACCCTGAGTGTGTGTCAGAATATCACCCCAGTGGGTATGCCGACAGTTGAAATCACTCAACAGGAGCAGACTCTGATAAGGAGAGCCAACAGGTGCTTAAGATCAGGAAGAGAAAGTGGGACACTATGGGGGGGGGGGGGGAAGCTAAACGTTACAGACTGTATACCATTTACTCACAAAGATACGGGCCACAGAACACTGGATAGGGGACTGAAAAAGTAAGGGGGACGAAGGGAGAATCAGTACAAATCAAGAGCACAGTAGAGTCATGGGTCCCAGCAAAAGCTGGGGATGGAGGTAGAGAAAGCAGGACCAAACAAAGGGTGGAACGTATTAGCACTTGAAAGAATCGTGTGAGTGTGTCTGTGGGGGATGGGGTTAAAAGGCACAGTTATCACAATGAGAGAAGTAGCCACTCCAAGTAATGAGGTGGAGGATGGAGGTAGAGTTCCACTGGGGGCTTGAGGCTCAACCCTACCACAGAGGAGGGAGGGAAGTGGGGTAATTGGGTCAAAAGAGTAGCTTGGTCTGGGCCCAACGTAGCAGAGGCTACAGAGCCCAGTCTTCCAACACAGTCCAACTCGGGGTCTTGGTCGCCCACCCCACGAGTCTGGGAAGTTGTAAGAGGATCATTCAACAGTATAGAAACGAGCAGGTGATAGTTTCATTCACATATAAGGCCACATACCCACCATGTAGCCATAATTAGAGGATAGAACACCTGACAAGACGGGGCCTCCCCCAGGGGTGCACCATGAGTATATGCCCCACAATCGCCACCTTAAGAACCGTCAGTCCATCGAGATCGGGTTCAGTAACAAAGATGAGGATTGACAATAAAAGTGCCCCACTCGCTTAAAACGTCCTGTACCACAGTTTTACGGGTGAGAGAGTGCACCTCCCCAAACACCCGGGCGTCAGAACTGCTCATGTCCGAAAGAATAATCAAGCATGGCAAAAGGTCGGTGGGAAATGACAATTAGAAAGGAGAAGAGGGGGGAGGAAAATGAAACATAAGGAAGATAAATAGCATCCAGCATAATTAATGAAGATGGCAGCAGGAGCATAAGGCTTCAAAAGGATAGAGGCCTGGCCCATGGAGCACCACACCCCAAGAGCTGCCCACCAAGCCCCTCATGACGACAACGGGCTGGAAAGGGAGGGGAACACAAAAAGGGTTTTCCTAATATTTTATCATTTTCTGTGAAAGTGGATACAACAAATACAACATTTTGGCTAATGCTAAAACAGAAATCTTAGGAAGTCAGTATGTTATAAACACACACATTTAAAAAGAGCCAAATTTGAGATTATGTTTTTAATGGACTTTATCACAAACAAATATTCACGTCTCCAGAATTGGCAGCAATATTTATCCTATAAATCTGATGTACAGATGATAAGCAGCACTCAGGGTGGCTGGCAGATGATATTGCATAAACCGCCACCCTGAAAATGCATGAAATGGCAAACAGTATATATTTCAACAGAGATCCTTGGATGCCGCTTATAAACAAAGATGAATACGTATCTTACCACACAAAAAAATATAATTTCGATAATTTGTACAGTGAAATGCAAGTTAATGCTGATGCATTGTGAAAGGCGTAAAGTCTCAAAATCATGCATAATTTGTATGTTTTTGGAAGTTTTTTTACACCTATGTATATTAGTGCTTTTAATAATACACAACTGATGTACTTACGAATAAACCACTGTAATATGTTCTAATGTATGTTGTATAAATAAAAAATTATTATTATTATTATTATTATAATTCCATTTTATGAAGTAACTCCTAAAATCTATACTGAATTAAATGATAAGCTTTGGACACATCAGAAAATAAAATATTGATTCGTTTATAAATTAGGTACAAATTTGGTCTAAAATTTTTTAATAAAATAACAGAATCTTACCAAGATTTCCTAAGTTGCTAAACGAGTCAAAAATATAGAACAGTAGAGACAATTAAGCAAATCATCAGCCACCTATATTCAATAATAAATGAGAGAATCAATTAACCCTTAGACTGCTGAATTAAACTAATTAAATGTCTTTTTACATGCACTTCCTTTGGGGACATCATAACTGTAAAAATCTGTTCTTGGTTGGTTTCCAGAAAGCATAAATAGATCAAATTTAACTCATTACCACTACATCAATGTTAAAAAAAAATATGAAAAGTATGTCTACCTAAAATTCCAGCAGTGAATGTAATGAATCGCCTCTTTCTGCTGAGTCCTCTTGGTGTTCCCTTAGCTACCAGGCCAGGTAGCTCAGGGAGCCACTGAGGACAGCCCTCCCAGAATTAACATTTATGCATTGTTAGCAGTCTAAGGGTTAAACACATGGTGCAATTTGAGCATAGGTTGCTTTTGCATACATGATTGGCATTGTGTTACAAAGCAATGAACATATTATTAAGTAGATACTTGTGGGATATTTTTCTTGTATAAGCATCTTAATGATACAACTTTGTACTGTCGCAATTAATTATTCATTTGTTGGTACGTAGACAAAAGTTTCACTTTAAATCACTTTCATGGCCAACATATTATGTCATGGACACTGGGTAACACTTTATTGACTTTAATAACAAACATCTATTAAAATTTACCACCTTCAAATAATACAAATGCTGTAATTGTAACTGCATTTTCTTTTATACCATAAACACACAATGTAATTAATTACCAATACATTCAATTATCTATCTGCAAATGATACACACTCAGGATTGACTCCATCATACACAGCTAGGTACAAACACACACACGAGAGAAGAAATCCTCATAGAATTAGACAAAACAACAGACCTGGTTGTTAATATCACTCCGAGCATATCTTTCCAAGACCACATCAAACGGATATCCTCAGCTGCATGTTAAGGCTGGCTACAAAAAAAAAAAAAAAAAAAATCTGAAAACTAAATTTTCAGGATCTTATCAGACCAGTTTTAGAAAATGCGCAGTCAGCGTACAGTCTATCTTGTTAAACACAAAATGAAACTGGAGAAAGTCCAGAGGTATGCCACCACACTAGTCAAAGAACTAGTAAAAACTTAAAAACTTCCACGTAAAAAGTGGGAGACAGGATTACTACATACTCGATTCTGAGGGGTAACATACAAGGCAGACAAGGACATACTATTTGAAATAGGTGGGACAAGGATTAGGAGAATATATTTGGTAACTATAATACTTATGAGCAATTGCCATATTAGAAAGAATTTTTCCAGTGTCAGGAGAGTTAACTAATGGAATGCACTAAGAAGTAAAGTGAAGGAAGCAATTTCCATACACAGCTTGTTGAAATAATGGTACAAAGTTGGTAACATATACATCAATTGATTGAAGATTGAGAGGCAGGGCCACTGAGCTGAAGCTCTGCCCATGCAAGCACAATTGAATGCAAGTAGGTTAGTGCACACACACACACACACACACACACTTGCTTAAGCCCAACAAACAGACTAACACCTTGAATATGCCATACCAGAAGAACAAAACAGAGATCTAAGCATAAGTAATTATCAACTGAGGCACCAGGCTGGGAAGACTATGTAGCACTGTATTGCTGGATATTCAAAGGCAGATATCACTTAGGATGCCAATACGAGAACAAAAAGACACAAGGCGAGTGATATCATAGGTATCAGATTCACCAAGGATTCTACGTGTGGCAGATCTAAAGATAAGACTAGTTAGTACCAAAGATAACTTGAGTTACAAAGAAAGATTAACCCTTTATGCTGCGAGCCACATGCGACACAATGTTTTAGTTAATCATTAAAAAAAGGCAACAAGCCAGGAAGACTACTAAGCACCACCCACGTCACAGGACATTCAAAAGATCCTAAGTGTCACTCAGAATGCCAACAATAGAGCCAAAAAGCTACAACACAATAAAAAAACAACAAAGGTAGCCTTTTTTTAAGTAAGTTGTGCTTAACGTTTATATGAGATGGCACTAGTGGCAATGAGGAAAATAAACCTTTCCTTATGAATTCTTGCAACCAA